TTTGAATCAAGTACAACTCCTAGGTACTTGTAAGAGTTTGACCAGGGAACATAGTCATCAAAGAATTTAATATTAATGGAAGGGTACGGGGAGGGGGCTACGTTTGAATATCATAGCAGCACATTTAGCAACATTAATTTTTATTTTCCAAGTGATGAGCCAGTGCTCAAGGCTAGAGAGATAAACTCTGAATGTTTTGGACCAAGTTTTCAAGGCGTTTGTGTTGGGCTAGGATGGCCGTATCATCTGCATAAAGTGCAAGAGTGATACTAGGTGATTTTGGTATGTCATTTATGAAAATGTTGAACAAAATTGGGCCTAAAAGTGACCTTGGGGGACGCCGCTTAGTATAGGACGGGGGTGCCGAAATGGAAGAATTAACTCGTACAGAAAAAGATCTATTAGTGAGGTACGAATTAATTATATGAATTAAATGGGCCGAAACGTCAAGTCGTATGAGCTTGATAATAATTCCTATATGCCAAGTCCTATCAAATGCTTTGGCTATGTCAAGAAATAAAGCGCCAGTAAGCATTTTGTTACGAAACCCTTCGTGAATGAACTCCACTGTCCTCAGCAGCTGGTGCGTGGTGCAGTGTTTTGCTCGAAATCCAAATTGTTCATCAATCAGAACGTTGTGATTTCGGAGAAAATCATTCAGGCGTTTAAGTAACACAAACTCGTATATCTTAGATAACGAGGATAGGAGGCTGATAGGTCTATAATTTTGAGGATTAGAAAGGCTTTGGCCTGGTTTTGGAATAGGCACAATAAGTGCTGTGTTTCCAGCTTTGAGGAAAATAGCAATGCTGTATCATAAAATTTATAAGCATTACTAAGAAAAATAGATAATTGGTGGGTAAATTTTTAATCATACGATTAGAAATAGAGTCCATACCAGGGGCTTTTTTGGGTTTGAGCTTGGTAATGTATTCACTTACCTCGCTCATGGATGTATATTGTATTTCTCTCGCGAAAGGCGAGGAGAGGAAACGTTCAACATCTTGTGGGAAAGAACTTGCGCTGTTCGCAAAAATTCCTTCATTATGTGGTGTAAATTGAGTTTGAAGAGAATCCGCAATTAATTCGGATTTCTCAGCGTCTGTGTGAGCCACCGCTGCGTCCGTAGCTAAGGACGGAATGTTAGATTTGTGTTTGCGTAGGCGGGCTGATGCGCGCCAAAGACTGTTATCATTGGTCGTTAGGGACTGAATGTAATTCGTGTATTGTGATTGGAAGAACTGGTCACATGATGCCTTGATCTCATTTTGGAGAGTACGGAGTTGAATTTTTAAAGCCAGGATTTCTATTTCTTTGCCAAAGTCTCCGTACTTTATTCTTTTCTTTAATTTTGAGTTTAATTTCTTGAGGTAATTTTACGAAAATTGGGTCTGAGGGTGGGTTTTGATACTTCCTTATAAGTATCTGTTAGGGTGTTCGTTAATTGATTGATCTACTGCCTTGTCTATATCATGGCTGGATTTAATTTCGAGGGAGGGCAAAGCTTTTAGAATTTAAGTTTTTTAAACCGAAAATTGTCCCAGTTTGTAGAGACGAGTGCCGGAGAAAATTTTGATTAGTAAAAATAGTACAGTTAAGGTCGATGATTACGGGGTTGTGATCTGAATGATAAACAATTTTCAACAGTCACTTGATATCCAAAAGGGATGTTTCGAAAGAGTGCCAAATCTATAAATGAGGGGGGGCACCCCGTGAACCATATCTAGTGGGGGAATCCGGCGCAATAATTTTAATTTGGGCGCACTGAGCCCATTTTAGGAGGCCACGACCAGCAGGGTTTGATCTATGACAACGCCAATGCTGATGGTGACAATTTAAAATCACCAGCTATGATAAGATTATTTGAAAAATTGAGCAGTTTATTAAAATCTACCACAGGAAAATTTCCACCTGGTGGGAGATAGGCAGAGATCATAACTAGGGATGGCGAATTTTGAATAAAAATTTCGATAATTGTTGCTTCAAGTTTGCTCATATTTGGTGTGTCAATTCTGCGATGTGGGATTGAATTTTTTATGTAAATACAAGTGCCACCATGATAAACATCACGTGTATTTGAAGCTTGTCTGTCATTTTTATATAGTGCATAGTTTGCAAGTGCGACTTTGCTCAGTTCCGCGCCCGGTTTTGATGGAGAGAATTCCGGGGGGGGGGAAGGTCCGGGGTTCTGCCACCTATCTTCCCGTATCTTCAATTCTCTCTACCTTCAATCTTTCGGCTCGTCGCATATTTAGATGCGGAACTTAACCTAGATGCGAAACCATGTCACGCAGCTACTATAAATTTACAAACAGCCATGCCTTTTCCGAGATTCGGAGAGCCCTTTGGACCAGCAGTTAGCGTCGTTAAATAATATCCCGATTGGGCGGATCTCAAAACAATTCTTACAGCTAGATATTATTTCTTTGCACACCTGGCTGTAGTTGTCTCCGACATAGAATGTGTAATTAGTTACGACAAAAAATTATCATTCTCAACATTCATTGAACATTTAATACAATTCTATTTATAGTTATATTTACGAATTAGACACATCTGCAATGACATAAAATATTCCACTTATCTGCATGTCGAGAATAAACCTGGAATCATTTCCTAAACTTGAACGCTTCTGAAGATTGAACATAGCAAACTTAAACACAAGAATCTCATTTTCTTAACGCAGCAAATTGAGAGAATTCCTAATATACATAGCGGATTTTATTTCGTATATTATGCAACAAGCCCCGAAATCAATTCTATAACGCAATGTTAAAAACTAAAATTAATTTTTTAAATAGCTAACGCAAATTTCTGTAACCATGGATACCACTGCCGTTGTTGCCAGGTTTACTCTCACACATACGTCAAAGACACAACACTGTTCATTTATTAAAACATAGCTCACTGTCCTTTAAGCAAAAACCACATGCATAGTAGAATTTAGGAACTGCGTCATACTGTATCATAGTGGAGGACAGCATTAAATTTTTTCATCGAGTTCTGGCATAGTAACAATAATAATGTCATATATTAGATTAAATACTAATCTTTTGGAAATAAAAAAAGAAGCTCTTAATTTACCATTACGCAGAAATCTCTGTTACATCATCAGCAGAATTGTAACTATCTAACTCTGTGATTTACAAGGCTGCTTTCTAGTATAGATAACGAAATTAGTCGTTACCTGTATCAAACATTCTAGCAGAGTTTGCTCAATAGCCAGTGCAACCACAATGGGTGGCCAGAACTTAGTAATGGAAAATTTTTGAAATTTAGGGAAGCACTGAGCGGCAGAATTTAGGATCGTATAGATTACATCGGGCCACAAAAGACTTAGCGCCCTTCCTAAAGTTACTCGTCTTTAATTCAAGTAACTGAAATTATAAAGTATTTAATCTTTAAAAATGAGACTTCTTGTAACTGAAAATAATCACTTGATGGGTGTAGTGGTTAGCGATGTTTGCTAGCGTATCACTGATCCTGGTTCGACTCTCGGGTGCGGCAGGGACGATTGAAAGATTGTAGTATTTATGCAGCATGGGGTACTTAAAGTGCTGAAGAGCCACTATACGATCTAGGCGGCATTGCTTAAAACATATAAACACTTGATGTCATAATCTATGAAACTAATAAGAAACAACTGTTTTCCTGGTGTGAATAAATACAGGGTAATTTATTCACTGAATAGCAAAATTAAATTGAAAAGTAATTTGTCGAAGTAACCGGAATTAATTTGTATCGATATAATCTTTAGTTCAGGGAATTTCGTTTATTCTAATTTTTAGGAATGGCGACAGGGAATTTATTTGTTAACAGGCAAAATGGCATCATGTAGTCAAAACGTACTGTGAGTTTAGTATTGGAAAGGAAATCTCTGAAAACAGTTCTGAGAAAATTCTGACATAAATTTAATAATGCTTTACAAAAAAAAAAAAAAAAAAAAAAAAAAAAATTAAAAGATGGTTAAACATTTTCAAGAGACCAGACATGTTTTGCAGATCCAAGTAGACAAAGAGTAAGTGAAAAAAAAAGTTCCATTCGCCGTGCAGCTTGCAAACAGGAATTCCAGGTCGACATCTGATAAAATTTTTATGAATGGTTGAAAGTAACTCTATGAATTGCAGATATGCCAACAAATCAAACCTAATGATCAAGTCTTTCGTAAGGAATTTCCTGTAGCCAAATGTATTTTTTCAAGAGATTGAGACCCTCTATCATTGGCTTACTCATGTGCATGATTTCCGTGATGAAGCATTGGTAGATTATTGGACTGGTAGAGATGGATCAATTTGATAACTACATCGTTCTCCGGACGACACACCACTCGACATCGTTTTCTGATGGTATCTGAAGAACTGAATTTATGCTAAACCGAATTCATGTTGCATCATTGAAGAATTAAGAAGTCAAATCACCAAAGAAACAGCTAGTGCTTCCATACTCCTCAGATGCTTAATTACATCTGTAGGGAAATCGAGAAGGTACTTGATATTCTCTGAGCAATTAATGGTGCTCATGTTGAAATGTATTAATATAAAATTCTTTGAAATGTTAAGCAAAAATTAGTCAGACTTTTATCTCTATGTCTTATTCTGTATTATTTAAAACATACCTTTATCCAGCGAATAAATTATGAACATCCATCCTGTATATTTCATGTAAAACTCAATGCAGTTGATTTTACACGCAGTTTTAAAATTTATTTTACGCAGAATGGAAATTTAACGAAACTTTGCATCCGCCTTGCAATAAGAACTCAAAACCTCGCAAAGATCAAAGCATGAATTTAATAATATTTAATAATTTAAATAATTTAACATACATTATACTGCAGAATTTGAAAGAATATTATGATTGTATGATGCATTAGTTTCAAAAAAGGCCTGTTTATTAAAATCATTCTTATTCTCTGTCATTTACCCAATGGCGAGAAATATTGCAATCCGTAACCTCTCATCCTATATAAAAAGCATTTATTCTTAATTTAAATTTTTCAGCATAAATCTAATTGTAAAGAAGCAAGTTCACCATCTTCTCGTGACTTCTAAATCACCTCTTGGAAGACCAACAGTTGCTGCTGCTACTCTTTACCGTCCAATAAATATAAAAACAATTAAACACAACACACGGACTGAATTTGGAGCTGTAGTTGAAGCTATAGAAATAAATTATTTATTTCCCTCGTAAGTATAATTTCAATCATTAAAATTTCTGTTTTTGATGTGCAAATATAATGAAAGTAAATTTTGTTTTCTCTTTCTGACTATCAAAATATATCAGATTACGTAAAATTTTAAGTGAGAACAAAATTGTTTTAGGAGAAATTGTTTAAAACTACTTTGTATAACTTGACATATTAAAAATGATAAACAGCTTCTCAAAACTTCAGGAAAATACTCCATTTCTTCTTTCATTTAGTCTCAATTCAATGAAATATTGCATTGAAAACCAAATGCATGTATAATGTATAATGGTACATTTTTTAAACTGACGCCGTTTTCTAACTTATTGATTTTGATTTTATTAATAGTGTTACGAAATGCTTAGTTGAAGCAAGAGAGCTAGGGCTGCCAGAAAATGGCAAGGAAAAGCAGGATTTCCAGATATGGTGCAAAATGACCCATTTGGCGACAAAATTCTCGTATGCCACAGACAGACTTGCTTGTACGCAAAGTAGCAGTGTATCGAGTATCGAGAGTTTATCGTCAGAATATCGTGAGTTATATCATGAAGTGTATCTTGAGTGCTTTGAGTTCACAGACTAACTTGAGACCGATTGACCGAGCCGAAAGCTGTACTTTAGTGCTTTGCCGTGAAGCTCTCTTCACCGTTATAGGCTGATAGCATGAAGACTCTGTTGCGTTTCAGGGTGTTTGTTGTAGTTTTTCGACAACTGTAAAGCGTCTTTTGAACTCTCCTGTGTAATACACTGGAATAAATTGTGTTTTGATTCTTCATCAAGTGTTGTCGTCAGTCACTCCAAATCTGTGAACCCGTAAAACGCAGCAATATATATCATACGGTTTGTGTAAGGAGCATAATGATTTGAAGTGAATTATACAGAAAAGTACTGTGTTTATGAACAGCCATTAGGCTTCGGTTGTTGTATGGGGAAATTTAAGAGAGAATAGTTCGCTTTCCTCTGCTTCATTTTTTGCATTTAGAATTATTTCCTATTCTTTCTTTTTTATTACTTAAAAAAATTTCAATTTCATAACATTTATTGAAGTAATTAAATCATTTTGAACATTTTGTTTACATTTCATACTGTTTTAGTACATTTTTACATATGTTACGTTTTTCTTAACCTTTCCTTTTTTGAAATGGTCTTACTGTAGGAATACTCAGTTTCAAACGTTTGTTGGTGACGTTAGAAAGGAGAGTTGAAAAACTGCTGTAAAAGGATCAACTTTTGTGATGTTGAAAATTTGTGCACCTCCCTTCCACTGACAGAAATCAAGAAACAATTTTTCGAGCAGTTTTAGTCTAAAAAATAAGCAAATCCATCAACTCACATGTAAAACAATGTACGAAATATAAGCCGCAGGTAAACATTTGCAGGTGCCATCATTCTGTTTACGCAATATACCTCTGTAGTTCAACGAATGCAGACAGAATGGCAGACGTAGATTCAGCATAACTTTATTAATGGCTAACACAATTCTTAAGACGATGATATTAATTGATACAATTTTGATCCACACAAAATATGGCCGCAATATTCACTCCACAACAAAACTCTAAACTGTCCTCTTAAAACATTCAATGGATGATAGACAAAAGCGAGTAGTGACGTGCGACTTTGACGCAGGCAAGCAGGAAAGTAAGCATCAAGAAGAAAAACACCAGCCAGATAAAATTTCGGTTTCGCGAGAAGTCTTATTTAGTGACTCGAAAAGAGGTATCTGCATTGCGTCTAAAATCTTATTGATGCAGATTAATTTTGAAATGACGCAGTTTAGATTGATATGTTACGATTACTATTTTTAAGACAGGAAGGGGAAGTATCCAAATTAAAATGAAGATTAAAAGGGCTATTTCAAAATTTAAAATTAAAGTTAGCGCATATATATATATATATATCTGATTTTAATGACTAAATGTATGATTTTAATGAGTAAATAGTGTTATTTCATAAAAACATTTATAAAAAAGTAGAGAAAAATATTATTCAGTACCGTGTTTATTGCTTTTAAATTGCTCAGCATGTTGATGAATAACAGACATATTTAACATGAAAGTTAAATACATATAACACTTTGTCAAATGGCAACACATTGATTTGTGTTAGATAAAAATATTTTATTTCTGGCAGTGGGAAAACATTTAATTTAAATCGCAGAATTTACTGATTAAAAGCAGGTGTTGATTAAATTTGAATATAAATAGCTTATGCTTGACCAAGTGAGAACACATTGCTTTGAAATCGCTGAGTTTATTAATCGAAAGTTCATTAAATTCACACAAAATACGACACCAAACAAATTTGAAATTCAAAATAAGGCTTTGGGGTGCATATTTCCGTGTGGAGCAGCGGTCGTCAACCCTTAGAACTTCACGGACAACTACATATATAATTTTCTATTTGGTGGACCATAATATGGATTTTAAAAACACCTTAAATCAGACCTTAAAAACAACATATTAATACGCAAAGACAATATTCAACTTTCCAATATATGCAATTCTAATTTTTATTGTTTAATATAATTTTCGAAACATTTGGTGTTCAGCAGCATGCCTTTACGGAAATTGAGGTTATGCCCCTAATGAGTAACAATTAAAACACTATTAATATTTCTCTGATACACATATTTCGTTCACATTAAAAAATTATATGAAAAGTGCAAAAATTTTGTCTTCTTGCACAGAAAGTTTCACATTTCCATTTCAATGAAAAGGAACATCACGAAAAGGAAGAAGAAACCGGCAAACGCAAAGCAATATCAATAAACTGAAAGTGTTATGCCGCCAGTTTTAATTATTGTAAACATAATAATCATCGCTTACTCAGCAATGGCACCATCGATCAACAGTTAGACAAAACGAAACGAGAAACTTTCAGTGACGCAATTATAAACAACAATGCAGATGGTTCTCATAAAAATCCATCAAGTTGCCTATTGACACGGAGAAAAACTGTGTTATTAACGATTACAATATTATATATTTGTAATTCAAAAGGAAGAAGAATTCCAGTTCGCGCTATTATTGATAACAGCAGCATATCTATGGATGCCAACTCTCACTTTCAAATGTCGCTAGATACACCTGAAAAAGTAGCTAAAAAGTCGTTCAATTCAGAAGGAATTTTGCTAAAAGTAGTAGCTAAAATTAAAAAAAAAAGTATAATCCATATTCTATAATAGGTTTTGTTACCCATCAATATTTTAAACTGAATCTTCATAAAAATATAAATAATGTCCCAATATTTCTGCGGGCCATCAAAAAGGTTTCACGGACAACCAATGGTCCGTAGACCACCGATTGGCGACCGCTGGTGTGGAGGACTATTTGCGTTCTTAGGTGGTTTCATGTTTCCATATTGTGCGTGTATGTGACTTATTTCACTTGTCTGATAGTAACGTCAGAACAAGCCCACGAAATTCATCCTGGCAAGGAGAGCAAGATTGCGACTTTCGTTGGCAAGAGCCTTCAGCACCACGACTTCGCTCAGTTCCGCCCACAGTTTTGATTTGGAGCATTCCGGGGGGGACGGTTTCAAAGGATATCAGACTCTACTTCCCTTATCACCAACCTTTCGAGTGGACTTTCGGCTCGCCATATATTTAGAGAACTATCATGCCATAAAGACAGTATACATTTAGAAACATCCATGCCTTTTCTGGGATTCGATCCCGGGCCCTTCGGTACCGCAGTAGGCTTGCATAATCACTATTCGTCTGAGCGGCTTCCGTATTGTGAGGAACAAATATACATTCAGATTCTTTATTATTTAATACTAATGATTTTGGCTTGCAAATATTATACATGATTTTACCGATACTCAATGCTTATATTTTTTCTTGTTTTATTCCCTAGGCCAAAAGAAGAGACCTCTACTTTACTCTGTTAGAAAGAAACATTATACTCTGGCATGCACAAACAACATATTCTATCTACAAGATCCTGCGATGAGTTTTATGAGTGGAGAGCTGCTGCTAGGAATTCAGCTTCACGGAATGGTTCCACGTTTGAATAAAAATAACAGCGTAGTTATTGTATATATGTTGATAGTAGCATAATTAATAAACTGTACAAAGAAATTTGCATAATGTGATATTTTTTAAGAAACTTCTTTCTTTAATATAATTTTTGTTAATCGAAGGAAAAAAAAATTTTTATACCAACTTGTTTTGTAATATCAACGTTCATTCTAACGTATTTCTTTTTTTAATCCTGTTGTCCATATGCTTTAAACATTTTAATTAAAATTGCAACAAATAATTCGCATATTTTGTTACTGTTGGGAAATTTCCTTTCTTATTAGCATCAGAAGAATAATTAATTTTAATCCTCTCTTTTTTGCTCTGAATAAATGTTGCAGTGTTTTACTTTCAAATCAAAAGTCGAACATATTTATACATGTACAGAAGTTGACCACCCCTATGCTATAAAATCGCTTTTGCTGTAAAATTCTGTACATATTTTAGTTCTACCAATGACGTTTATGATGCATATAACGTTAATAATGTGTTAACATCTACGATGCATGGACGCTTATAACGCATGCTGTCGAATATTTGCTTTTTGGAAGGTAAGTTATATCACTTACAACACATGTAACGCTTATACCTTATCCCCACTTTATAAGATATTTTCTCCCTCCTTCGAGTATGCCCTTGTGGTGTAACGGTAGCACACTGGGCGCATATTCGAGAGGCCCAGTTCGAGTCTCGGCGAGAGCATTGCTCATTTTCATGTCCCCAGCATCAAGCAACCTAATGACTCTATGTTTACGTCGAATCATGTTTGCAGTAAATAACATATATAACTTATTTTTGTTATAACACACATAACTTATTCTGTAACGTCTGTAAGGTAACGGTTTTTGTAACGGTATTTTTGTAACGGCTCAAAAATCTACCGAACGTTTGCTTTCCAGTTTATTTCCATAACACTTGTAACTTTTCTAGCATTTTATAGTTATCTTTCTACGAAAAGTATTGGTAAATTAAAATTTCTCATGAAAATTACTAAAATTACTAATATAAATATACTGAATGGAATCTTGAATGAAATGAAACATGCTAACTGCAATCAGGATGAAGTCATGAGACTGAAACCCTTTGCTGCACTGAATATACTATATTATATTAACTGCATTAATAACGAAAAAGAGACTGTTTTTAAATTTGTAACTGTACATATCTCAATTTTCCTCTAAACTGCAAAACGGTTTAATCCGGATATACTAATTTTTGTTTCTATGTGTTTCTACGTATGCCTTCAGCTGAATAAATATTTGAGGCAATATGGGTACATTTTACTTTCACACCCAAATATCATTTGAAAATTAATTTAAGGCAGTGTTGATCCTAAACAAGAACACATGGATATCAATTTATGATTGTACATAAAACTAAAATTCAACTTTTTAAGCAAAAGTTAAAAGTTTTAAAGTTTAAAAATGGATATATAGTTTATTCCATAAGAATATGGAATTAATGATAATTTTAGCAATAACATTATTATTGTCATTGCATCATTTGATTTATGAGTTTAAAATAACAGACATTACAATTACCATTAAAAGTAAAAATTTTAAGACATTTATATCAAAAAATAAGTAATGATATATGGCTTTTTTGACAGTCAGCATTTTATAAAAGATATTTTGCACTAGATTTCGTTTTAAAAGAAAAAAAATGTGATAACAAAAGATGTTCGTTCTTTTATTTTATCGCCATGTTGAAGAAAATTATACATTATTTAAAAATGTGTGTAAGAAAATAAGGGGGGATGCTCTTTTTATTCCTAGCTTTTATGTTTATGAAAGTGAAAATAATAAGCAATGTTTTGCTTAAATTGAAATCTTAACGTTTCTGAGATAGTGTTCGAAAGTTTGTCCAAGCTATGAAACATAAAATAAGATTAAAAAAAAATCTGAATCTTTCAGATTTTAAATTATGTCCAAAGTGGCCTTATTTTAACCTTTTGTGTGCTACCTTGATTTATTAAATGTCATGTTCTTTGAACTTAAACCATAAAATTCAGTTCAAGAGATTTATCGCATAATAATTTTAAAACTAGCATATCTTTAGAATTTCCGATACACAGTCTCGCGCGCTGGAGATAAAAATATTTTTCCTGCACAACGCTACCATTGCTCGTTTTGAAATCCTCGAGTTCGTCAATCAAAAATTCGTTAAAATTTTACAAAATGTGATTTCGATAATAAAACAAATTCCAAATTTTTAATTTGGGCTTCTAGATGTCCATATTCGCAAGAGGATTACGTTATTCATAATTGGATGGCCCTAGGTACCGTAGTTTTATCACAGTGCGAGAAACACACATACATTTATGCAGATTCCTCATTATTTAATTTCTTTAAATATAATACAGGGCTATAAGATTTGGTCGCAACAATTTGAAAAGTGAAACAACGCTTGTAGTGAATCAACGCAAAATGAAATTAATAGTCCTTCTGGGCAAATTACCCCTTTGGACTAATAATTATTTATTACCCCCGTGAAAATTTTTATCATGATAATATAATAAATGTTAAGAGAATGTTACGTTTTTAATAATCACAAATTTACTTTACATCGGGGTAAAACAAAATTAACTTCAACTGATAAATAAACGCTCTGTGGGTCACTCGATCCCAGTGATAGCGAACAGATTTCTTTGCATTTTTCATGCTTTCGTCATGAGAAAGCTGCATGGCCTTATTTTTCGAAGGCCGCGAAATAACCCGACGATTGGTGCTAAACGTTCCGCTATCTTAAAGGAAGTAAAATTTTACACCTCGAGAATTTTGGACTTGTTTGTCTTAAGCTCCTCCTACGTGATATTGAATCCGAAGCGAATTATTTACTAGCGAAGTTACATTTCTCAATATTTATTTTCATCTGTATATTTTAACATGGTCACTGACTCTGATATAACAATTACATCATCGAGATGTAAGAAACCACGTTTTCCTAATACCGACGTCAGAATGATATCCATTGTCCGCTGAAATATCGTTAGGCTCCCGAACAATCCAAAAGGTACACATAGGAAGTCATATATATAAATGATTTTGTTATATAAGTCATTTTATTTACATATCGCAGCCTTAGTGCTATTTGAATCATCGCTAAGTTGACAAAACGATATGAACAAACACAGACTACCGTAAGTCTACTCATAGAAGGCAACCAAATCGTACATATAAAGAAATAAAACAACATCTAAGAAATATGGGAAGAGTAAAGAAAATTCTCTGCAGCAAACTATATGTTCTAAAATATTGTATGCGTTAAAAGCAGAAAACGAGTGCAAGCTCGAAAAACACATCAAAGAAACGTAGACGTAGAAGAACAGATTCTTCACAGATCGTAGACGAACTGTGAGGAATACGTAAAGAAGAAAAGGAAAGACAGTCATATTGCAGCACTCTTACTAAGCGGCTTACCAAAAGCTACAAAAATTTTATTTCAGCTTCAGAAGCACGCCCAAGAACTGATGTTGGAACTTGTAAAAACGAAATCGATAAATTCAGCACAACACAGACAAACATGTCGAAATGAACAGCTGCTTACTAAAGGAATTTCAACAAAATATTTCAAACCTTTCAATCAGCGAAGAAGCAAATATTGTAAAAAATTAGGTCATTTAGAAAAAGAACGCATATTCTTAAATAACTACAAAGAAAAGAACAAAATCAATAGTAATCATTTTTCAAGAAGGAAAAGCAAGTAAATAGAGGAAATTATAACAAACAAACAAAGCCGTAAACGAGGATTCATATGGAAATGAAAATAGAAATAAGAAGTTTGAAAAGACTGAAAATTATACATTCGGAAGTTACCAAAGAAAGAAAATTTTAAAATACAAATTTGGACAGTTGGTTCATGAGCTACGGGTCATATGACCGATAATATAAACGTTTTCACGAAATTAGATAGCAGCAAAACAGAGTAATTAAAAATTGCTAATGGTACTCGAATATTGTCCAAAGGCATCGGTGAAGGATATTTACATTGTTGGGTGATGAAGATAATGAAATAGAAATAAAACTAATAGATGTTTTATACGTTTCTGCTCTCAAAGGAGAACGAATACTCATATGGAAAATCGCAGAGAAGGGTTTTATATTTTAATTCAGAGAAGATAATGGCAGAATAATGAAGAAATTTAAAACCATAATATTTATTAAAGCCGATATTGCGGTTACAAAAAGAAGTGAAAACAGCATGGATCTTTGGCACAGAAATTATTATCAATCAAGAGACTGAAAAATGAAGACCTGGCAATTGAAATAAGAATCGACCGAGGAACTGGAAAAGATAAAGAATGCAAATGTTGGGCATCAGAAGCAAAACGTCGGTATTGTTTTGTGTCAAGCTAAATAACTACAGTTTGAACTTGACATATTTGACATTTGTGGACATACTGACCCGACATCCTTAGCAGGAAAGAAATACTTCATAACATCCATCGACGATTATTCGAAATACACAATGGTCTAATTTCTAGCTACTAAAGATGAAGCTATCTCCAAGTTAAGGCAATTTATATAAATGCAAAGAATAAATTCAGAAAGAAATCAAAAGAATTAAAAACAGGCAGTGGAGGAGACTACACAAAGAAAGAAATCGAAGTATATGTAAAAGGAGAGGGAATCGAGCACCATACCTCTATAGCATGTTCATCACCACAGAACGGTCGAGCAGAAAGGAAAAATCGATATGTAATGGAAACTACAAGATGCTTTCTACTCGATTCAAGACTGAAAAGGAAATTTTGAGAAGAAGCTCCAGATTAATTTTCTATTAAAAACCATTCTATCTAAAAAGCAGACTGTCATCAAGATCAATTCAAGAAACGCCATAAGAGCTCTGGGATAAAAGCCGAACCTACAACGGATCAAAGTTCTCGGCAGCACAGCTTATTGCTGAGTTCCAAAGCAGAAAAGAAGTAAACCGGATGAAAGAGTAGAAAAAGAAATCTCGCTCGTATTAAAGGATAAAGAATCTATATGCCACACACAAATAATGTTGTCATCATAAGAAGTGTAATATTCGATGAAAATGAAACAAAAAGGAAGCACTAC